TTCCTTGTTTATGTCTTTATTTATTCACATGTCATCATTACCAGCTTTCCCTATAAAAGCAAAGGGGTAAACTCAGTCCCCAGGGACCAGCTCGGTAACTAGAAGAGGTGAAACGGACCAGCCTGACAGAGGGGACGTGACAGATGACACAGCAGCAAGAGGGAGAACTCATGGGCGAGGGCGAGCGCGCCCTCATTTAGCAGCATTGGAATTCAGTCTCTTACAACATTCACATAAAGACGAAAAGGGAAAGTGAAGATGTCCAACTCTTTGCGGCCCCACCGACTACATAGTCCATGGGCTTCTCCAGGCCAGGATACTAGAGTATCCTGGATACTAGTATCCAGGATACTAGCCTTTCCCTTCTCCAGGGGATCTTCCCAACCCAGGGATCAAATCCAGGTCTCCCACATTGCAGGCTGATTCTTTACCAGCTGAGCCACAAGAGGATAATAAAATAAAGATACACCTTATGAAAGTCAAGCAAGTTTCAAGAGACACACAATGTGGTTTTGTTTTGTTTTGTTTTGTTTTATTAGAATACAGCTGATTTACAATGTTGTATTATTCGCAGGTGAATCAGTTACACATACACATATACTGACTCTCTTTTTTGGATTCTTTTCCTGATAGGCCATTACAGAACGTTGAGTAGAATTCCCTGGACATGTGGTATCTTTAATTTTATTTTTAAAAATTTCTTTAGATCTAATCCCTTTATCAAGTTTGAAGAATGTGTTCTTAGTAAGATTTTTGGTCAAAATATGACTTGGTGACCTTGACTATCAAATTAAACATAGCAATTCCTCTTTTAAACTCCCATAAAGCTAAAGGCTTTTCTTTTTCTTTGCATTTCTTTTTTTTTTAAATTATAATCTTAAGGTTTACATAACTTTTAAGACTGTAAGCTTAAAGAACTTTAGAGTTCATTGTAATGATTTTGTTTCAGGTGACAAAATTAAAACCTACACAGGTAAATTGATTTGTTCAAGGTCACTGACTTAGTTTCTTTTAGGACTGGAATTAAATTCTGAGTGTCCTAAATCCGTAATTCATGCTATTTTACTGATAATTGTGTATCAGGTTTTTTTTTTTTTAAAGAGCCCAGAGCTTTTAATGTTAAACTGAGGCATCATTCAACAGAGAATTCAGGGGAATTGTATGAAAATTTGCTTGTCTTCTTTCCATTGGACATTGTTGCCACACAGGATAGTGTACTGTTGACCATTTAGTGGTCAGATCTATAGCTCTCTGTTTCTTTGGTCACCGGGGGACCAACTAAGAGAGGATGGACACATGGTGAAGCAATTTGTGGAAGTATTGGGTTGGCCAAAAAGTTCATTTCAGTTTTTTCCTAAGAAATAAAACCTGAATGAACTTTTTGGCCAACCCAATAGCTCATGGTACGCACTCAACACATGTGTGCTTTAGGGATACATGGTCAGTAATAACACTTTCCTACATGCAGGAAAGATCATTAGGCCTGTTATAACCCTGATTCCCAAGCTCAAAACCAAAACTAGCATGAAACTAGGCCAAAACATTCACTGATCCATGGTGAAATGAGAAAAGTAAGGACAATATCATGAGTTTTCACAAAGTTCAATTGACAGGACTGCCCTATATTTTGAGATTATATTTTATNCCCCAAAGCATAAAGTCTCTCACTGTTTCCATTGTTCCCCTATCCATTTGCCATGAAGTGATGGTACCAGATATCATGATCTTAGTTTTTTGAATGTTGAGTTTTAAGCCAACTTTTTCACTCTCCTCTTTCACTTTCATCAAGAGGCTCTTTGGTTCTTCTTCGCTTTCTGCCATAAGGGTGGTGTCAGCTGCTTATCTGAGGTTATTGATGTTTCTCCCAGCAATCTTGATTCCAGCTTGTGCTTCATCCAGCCTGGCATTTCACATAATGAGTTAAATGATCTTAAAACCAAGCTCTTTATTTCACTGAGGCTCCAGAAAGCTATTTCACTTAGATATTAAGTATAAGAGAGTTTTTGAATCTCAGTACAAAAAAATAGACTAAAGGCACCACATAGAATGGGAGATTTCCCAAAAAATCCGTAACACATGTTATTGGAAGGCCAAAATCAGTTTATAAACAACAACAACAACAACAAAAATCTTAAAGAAAAATTTCTAATGACTCAAATCTAAATCTAGAATTATTTCCTATTTTTAGTCCTATTACTGTGTAGAGAGGACTATATTGGATAGCTGAATGAGCCTATATTTGAGATAACATGATCCATCTTTGTATCAAGAGAAGGTCAAAACCTTGATCCCCAGCCAAAAGGAAGGATGTGACCTATACTAAAGGCAGATACTGAATTTGTCTCCATTGTTCTCATCTCCTCCCACCTTTTCTGTCTCTCGGGTAATCTATACCAATAACCTCTTGCTTTAGAAATTAATTATCTAAATATTGGAAATATTACACTTAATTTAGCTTAATATAAAGGCATACTAAATCTCTTCAGTCATCTCTGACTCTTTGTGACTCTATGGACTGTAGCCCACTAGGCTCCTCTATCCATGGGATTCTCCAGGCAAAAATACTGTAGTGGGTTGCCATGCCCTCATCCAGGGGATCTCCCCAACCCAGGGATTGAACCTGTGTCTCTTATGTCTCCTGCATTGGCAGGCAAGTTCTTTACCACTAGCACCACCTAGGAAGCCCCTAATAAAAATCATATCAGATTTATTGAGTGTTTATTGGCTATCAGAGGTTTAGTGTCTTGAATCTGGTATAAGGATTATATTATCAGTAACAGATATAACAGTGATTATCATCAGGTAGTAGTCAGTGGCTGATTTTATATTGTTATTCATACTCTAAAATTTCTATGTTGAGTATGTATTAGATTTATAATTAGAAATAAAGGCTATATGAAAGTGAAGTGAAAGTATTAGTCACTCAGTCATGTCTGACTCTTTGCAACACCATGGACAGAAACCCGCTAGGCTGCTCTGTCCATGGAGTTCTCCAGGAAAGAATAATAGAGTGGGCTGCCATCCCCTCCTCTAAGGGATCTTCCTGACCCAGGGATCGAACTCAGGTCTCCTGCATTGCAGGCACATTCTTTACCACCTAAGCCACTCGGGATATATAAATATAAAAGAATATGGAGTCCAACAGTAGGAAATGGCAACCTATTTCAGTTTTCTTGCCTGGAAAATTCCATGGACAGAGGAGCCTGGCAGGGGCTACAGCCCATAGGGTTCCAGAGAGTTGGACACAACTGAGCATGCACTGGCTGGCTGGATGAAGAAGGGGACTCTTGTGACTATTTAGATATAGGAACTTTGCCATACCTGTAATTTGAAAAACATCATGAATCCTATCTTTCCCGTGAGTTTGGATTAGGTCCATGGTTTAAGGCCCTGCAAGGAAAGCTGTTGGAAGAATTCAGAGATAATGATGATGACGATATGCAGGACTCTGGTAGCTGAGCATGCACCAGTTCCCTAGGGTTGGTCCTGTTCATCAGCTGACAAATGGTCCATGGACACACCAGGTGGTCACACAGCAGCAGTAGGCAGGAGGTTTCCTGCAAATGACCCATTCCCGCAAAGTGTAAAATCTGTACTTGCAAACCAGGAGCAGATGGCACGTGAAGTGGCCTTCAGCAGGCACTTGGGAATATGATTGACTCTTTAGCCCAGCCTTTAGGTGCCATGTACATCCCCACTGCCTGACCACCCCTCATCTGTACATCTGCTTGTTAGATGTAATCAATAGATGAAAGAATGCAGTTGCAGAGAAGTCATTAAAAACTTTGCATTCCTCTCTCTCTACCTTTCTCTCCTTCCCTCTCTCCCTTGATAGAATGGCCAGGAAATTAAGCCAGCTGTAGATTAATTGAGACCCTCTTCCATGTAGGGAACAGCTGTCTCTGCTGCTTCAAGGATTGTATGAACGAATTAAAATATTTGATTACCTTTAATCCAAAAGGAATGTGGCAGTCTCTTCAGTCATGTAGTTTATTGGAGTTTTTTGGCGTTGGCTCTTCTTTTCTCACTTAAAGCTTAAAACTGTAGTCCTTCCCTGAAGTTGTGAGAGCTTTCAGCAGATGTTGTTTTCCACTTCTCTAGCCTTTCCCTTGTGGAAAGTGGGGAAAGCCCTCAACAAAAGCAGTTTTGGAGATAAGCAGAAAAACGTCTGCACCATGAACATATTTTTAGAAACAGCTGGTAAAAACAAATGCCCCAAATGTGATGCCTGGAGCATATCCATTCAAACAATAGGGTTGTTTAAAGATAAAAGCAGCCACTTTTAAATATCAACACTAGCAGTGATTTTCACAGTTACATTTAAGAGGTGAGAGAGCTTGCTAAGACTTTTTGATTTCTCTCTTGTTTTCTGGAACTAATTCTTTCACTCTTCTGGCTTTGTTAGTGAGTTTATCAGGAGCTGCCCATCAATAGTTAAAATTGGGACTGTCATCACATGGACAATATTTTTTAAATTTACATATAATTGATTTAATTGTGATTTGTGCTTCTAAGAATGTCCCTTTTTAATAGCATCTATGTGTAATTCAAGAGACCAAAATGGGAAATTGATAATGTACTTATCACCGATTTTATAGGCCATGTTTTGAAAAAAGTCAGGCAGTACTGCTAAAGGGCAAACATTCGTATTTGTAGCCATTAAAAAATCTGATGTCACTTTTCATTGGCCACATTCGGAGTCTGCTTTATGACCTTCCCTTGTCATGACTTCATTTGTTTACTGAATTGTTTTATCCTGGAGCCACTGCCAAATGCCATTACACAGTTCCCTGTATCACACAGACTGGCGAAATAATTCTTCATTGTGTTTTTACAATAGTTTCAATTTCCAGATTACTTACAGATTCTCTCTGGGTCAGGCATTGCACAAATGCTGTTTTGTACTACTGAACTTGATTAGCCGCTGCTCAGCTTATCAGCCACCATTCATGCTGACTTTTTCCTCCACTTCCTTCATTGTGGTTCTGTTTTCATTTCAGAAACTTTCAGCAGTGCTTCAAGGAGAGCTGGTCACTATGTTGGACCAGGTGATCCCACCCACTGAAAAAGTCTCCTTTTTTTAATGGTGCGCAAAGAACAACCTTCAGGACCTGCCTCCTTTCATGCCCTGCCCCATGGGACACAGTGCTCACTTAACAGATAGAAATGAAGAGTTTGAAAAGTGCTTTGCGATCATTTTACTCATTAAACAAATGCAAGAAAACTATCGTTTCTAGAACCTAACATATCCACAAGTGTGTCTCTTTGCTGTTTTACCCCAAAGTGACCTACTTGATGGATAGTTTTGATGTTATATAAGAATAGTCTATGATTGATTTTTTTTTTTATCTTGCTGTCTCTAGAAAACATGATCATAAATACTGACAACCCAAGTTTTTAAATATAAATGTATCTTTATACACTTGCAGTAAAGCATAGATCAGTAACTTCTATAGAAGTTTCTTTTGATGTAAAATTAACTCCGTATTGAAGCTATAGATCCTGTAGCACTTACCACATTGGAAATCGGATCAATGTCTGCATAGGTATTAACAGCGTCCCATGTGGCGCTAGTGGTAAAGAACCTGCCTGTCAATGTGGGTTAGACGAAAGAGACGTGGGTTCAACCTCTGGGTCAGGAAGATCCCCTGGAGGAGGGCACAGCAACCCACTCCAGTATTCTTGCCTGGAGAGTCCCATGGACAGAGCAGCCTGGCAGGTTACAGTCCATAGGGTCACACAGAGTCAGACGCAACTGAAGTGACTTAGCATGCACATGTGTATAAATAAGATTGTAATGATACATCATATGTACATAAAATTGCACAAAATACATATATTTACTTTCACAGAGATTTTTTTAACTTCCGCTTTTCAGGTAATTTCTAAGTTAGAGAAAAAGTATAAGATTTAGGACATAAAACTCCTGTATGCCCTTTACTCAGATTCACCAACTGTTAACATTGCCACATCTGCTTCTCATTCTCTCTCTCTGTATGTAAATGTATATAAAAATATTTATATGTGTCTATAAATGTGTATACACATATATATGAGCTATCTGAGAGTATGTACAAACCACTACACAAACACATATATGTATATTTAGATATATACATGAAAGTGAAAGTGTTAGTTGCTCTGTCATGTCCGAGTCTTTGTGACCCCACGGACTGTAACTCACCAGGCTCCTTTGTCCATGGAGTTCTTCAGGCAGGAATACTAGAATGGGTAGCCATTCCCTTCTCCAAGGGATCAAACCTGGGTCTCCTGCATTGCTAGCAGTCGCTTTACCATCTTAGCCACCAGGAAAGCCCCATATAGATAGAATTTTCCTCTGAACCACTTGAGAGTAAGTTGCAGAAATAATTTCCTTTACCCTAAATCACTTAGAGTGTATTTCCTAAGATCAAGGCAAAAATCAGATTACAGTAACCCAAATCAAGAAATGTAACCCTGATACAAAATCTTACCTAAATACTCAGATTTTAGCAATGTGCATAATGGGCTTTAAATTTATTTTTTCCAGTCCAAGATCCAATCCAGGATCTCATAATGCATTTAGTTGTCATTCTCAGAAATTCTGGAAGCATTTTGTTGACATATTATTTAGTTTTACTTGTGCTGGTCACAGATCAAGAAGAGTGAGTCAGTGTTTCCAAGTCCTCCTGGATGGATTGCTGAGGAAGCAGGAGGATAGAGCCTGTGCTTTAGCGCAGGAGTAAGATTTCCTGTCTTAGAATTAACTAACTAGAATCATTGTTGTTGTGTTCAGTTGCTCAGTCGTGCCCAACTCTTTGCACCCCCACGGACTGCAGCACACCCACTTCTCTGTCCTTCACGATCTCTCAGAGTTTGCTCAAACTCATGTCCATTGAGTCAGTGATGCCATCCAACCATCTCATTCTCTGCTGCCCCCTTCTCCTCCTGCCTTCATTCTTTCCCAGCATCGGGGTCTTTCCCAATGAGTTGGCTGTTTGCATCAGGTGCCAAAGTATTGGAGCTTCAGCTTCAGCATCTAAATGAATATTAGAATTGTAGAATAACTAGAATCATAGCAAGGAAGAAATCGAGGTTTCTCCAGTTTCCATTCCTTAGAGGGCACTGATAAATGTCACCTCTCTGATCGACTGTTCTTGAACACTTTAACGACTCTTTAAGCACTTATGATGTACTAAGTCCTGGGAGAGACACGGGGGTACATGAGTGAGTGAAACAGAGGTGGCCCCTCGTGAGCCAGGCGGCGGCACTGTCATTGACTCATCAATGATCTCCACGTAAATACTTTGAGAAGCACTCTGAAGGGGGCACATGCCACATGTCATGGCAGGACATGTGACAAGGTAGAGGTGAGGTCCACGTGTGCAGGGTGGGCGCAGGGAGACCTTCTCTGAGGCAACGCTGTTTCAGCTGAATTATGTGGGGTAGATGGGAGTTAACTGGGCAGAGAAGTAGGAAAAAGCATTCGAGCTTGCAAGAAATTTTAGGTGTGAGGAAGAATCAGCCGTCTCCAAGAGGGAGTCATTTGGAGCAGCAGCTAGCTCACAGGATCTTGTACAAGCTAGAGAGGAAAGAAAGAACTTTCACAGGAATAGGCTGTGTGGTCCCTTTGTATCTTGGATGAAGAATGGAGATAAGAGGGACTTTATCGACCCTGTGCAGCCCCTTGGTAGACAGTGAGTGGGCTTGATGAAGAATGGAGATACAGTACAAAGAGTGACATGATGCCTTCACTGGAGGAAAGTTGACTTGGGGAAAAAAAAAATTGAGTTTATATTTTTTGATACACCAATTCCGACCAATAAAGGAGAAAGTGACAGGAATCTAGGTCTTAGGCTGGAAGCGTCACCAAAGTTATTTGCAGGTTCTCAGAATCTTAGATGATACTTTACAGTTTAATGTATAACTCTGCATCATTTTTTTCAAGCTCATACACCTTGGACGTGAGAGATGGAAGACAGCATCCAAATTCTGGGCATGCTTATATCTTGCAGAGCCTGTTAGTGAGTGGAGTCACTCAACAGTATTTAAAAGAAACAGATGTTGCCTGAAAGGATTGTGCTGGAGAAAAGGATTGCATTTCAGTGATGGTAGTGAGGAAGCAGAGATCAAATATCGATCTACTTATAATTTACACCGCCTCATACTTTAGAGAAAACACATTCTGTCTTCCCCAGCACCCTCACCATTACAGTCATTACCAGTTCGGTCATCGGCTATTTGACTTTAAAGTTGCTGATCATTTCCCAGGGTGATTAATGATTTTGAAGGGAATGGTTTATACCTGCTCTGATTGCTCAATACTCGCCCCACAGTAAAAAGCTATGCTTCTACAATTGGAATAATAATAATATTTTAATATTATTAATCTTTAATAATATATGCACAATAATATATTATTGAATAATAGTCATTTGTATTTGGGGCTTACCAGGTGGTTCTAGTGGTAAAGAATCTGCCTGCCAATGCAAGAGATACGGGTCTGATTTCTGGGTCAGGAAGATCTCCTGGAGATGGAAATGGCAACCCACTCCATAAATACTTTGCCTGGAAAATCCTGCGGGCAGAAAAGCTTGGCAGGCTACAGTCCATGGTGTCACAGAGAGTCGGACATGACTGAGCACATAGTCTTTCCTCTCTATTCTATATATATATATAATTAATAATTGTTATTGTAATAAAGAAATGCTCTTCTTCCTAAAAGGCAATAATCAGAACTATATTCCAAGATGACTATTCCCACCACAGGAGTTTTTGAAGTCACATTTTGAATTGCTAACAGCGTCCCACTACTGGGTTGGAATTTCAATATTCTTTCTGTCCATTGGGAAACAACAGTTTTTCTGTCTCTCTGTCATTGCCCATGGATGGTTTACCTTCTGCTTATAAAAATCTATCATTCCTTCTGCTCATTCTACTTTATAAGATTCCTGCTGATTACCATTTAGATTTGTTAAGTGACAAAGCACATTTTATGGAGTCAGGAGCCAGTAGCCAGCAAGGTCAATAGTGGTAGCCTGGATCAATGATAAATTATTTATTTTATTGCCCACACAGTGATCAAAGTATGTGTTGCCACAAAAGCTTAGTTCTAGCCTCTGAATGAAAATAGATGATAGATGATTGATAGAGAGTGAGATAGATATTTAATTCTACAGGATAACAGACTTTTTGGAAATTTTCTTCCTTGAGCGAGGTTGCTAGTAAGCATCTTTTTCAGTGAAATAGAATAGCTGTGGTAACAACATCCTCTACACACCCAGCTTACCGTGGCCACAGAATCCAATGACTTTTTTCTTAAATGAGGGCGTCTGCATATCCACAGGCCCGCTGACTGTATTTCATTTACAATGCATTGCTTCACTCAACACACTCTGAATGAAGGAGATACGCTCCACGGCTTCGAATTCAGGCCCTTCCTCCAAGCAGGGCTTGTTTATCTGTCTGCAACACACTTGGAGAATTTGAAAGACAAGTGATGAGGTTCATTCATGCTATAAAAATGTGCTGAGCATCATGGTCGCTTCTTTCACAATAGCTGGGCATGGAAGGCTGGAGAAGGCCATTGTTACCACTCAGCTGACTGTCGATTTGACTCGGGCATAACTTATCCAGGGAAGTTGCACCATTTTTAAGTCAATGAAGTTCTAGGGAACACTTAGGACTATGGTACTTTAGTTGTAACTTCGTGAGACTCTTGAGTAAGTTTGCAAAGAGTAAGTTTGGAATCTAGAAATAGTTTGTTTTATTTCTGGGTGAGAAAACAGAGGATGCTTTGTACTTACATAAGATCCTTTATCTGACCACATAGTTTGGATTTAGACTC